CCGGAGCCCGTTTGACGCGGGCAGAAAGTGGGGTGATGGAAAGTGGCTGCTTTGGAGGAGAGGAGAGACACGAGTTCGCGCGTTCCGACCCCGGAACGAAAGTGGCTTTGGCCAATTCGGCGAGAATTGCCTTTTTTGCAGCTGCAAAAGTTGTGTGTGAGGGATGGGGATGGGGAGGGAGGAGGAGAAGGAAATGGAGAAGCCCCCCCTTCTTGATGTGTTTGTCGGGGTGTGGAAGGTGAGAGGGAGAGAGATCTTGACACTTGGATTGCAAGGTGTCAGTTTCATGGCTGGAGGGACTCATTCTGCAGCCTTGCCTTCGCATAGAGACCCACGGACCTGCACTTGTTGGGATGTGTTTGAAAGACGTCCTGTATGTTCCCTCTTTGTTGTGGGGTTTTAAAAAACCACTTTTTTTCCTCGTTTGGCGAAAAAAAAAAGCACCAGACATCGTGTTTTCTGCAGCTGTGTGAAGATATGGAATATGAGAGGGATCTAACAAACACAGTGACGCTCCACTTACATCATTACATCCTTGAAGAAATCTCATATTAAGGTGTAGTTAGAATCCACATATTAGGGAGATCTACTTTAGTTATCTTTCCAATGGAGAAGGAAAATCCTGGGAGTATATTCAGGATGTATAATTTCTGCTCAGGTTGCTGGACTCTGTGCATTTCAAGAAGAGGATATCACATCTTTGTAACTTTGGATTTAGTACCTAGTGTGCTCAAGGCTCATTATCATAAGATTCCACTCTACAGTGCTTTGTTCAACGTAGTTGTTGTTTAAGTAAAATATAATTCTGTACTTGTTTTATCTTCATTGCCAAAGAGAGACAACCAATGGAAGTCAACGAAGTTTCTCTCTCACACATTTTATAGTAACATCATCTGTATTGCATTGTGTTTGGGAGAAACATATCATCACCTAGGCATCACTTTGAATATAAATAATTGGAAAGAATATTGACATTTAGCTGCCTTTCTTCCTTTGAAAGTTGCTTTTCTTGTGTTTAAAGGTGTTAATACTTGGATATTTGTCAAATGCAAGTTTCATATTCAAATGGCATACACAGAGAATGTAACTATCAAAAGACTTCTACTTCTTTAGGAAATTATATTAAAATTATTTCAGTGGCAAGCTTCCACTTCGATTAAGGTTGGTTTTCTTCTGAGTGCTGACAATAATAAATGAAATTGATCACATCCTTTTAAATTTCTGTTTATGGGCTTGTAGGTACACTGTCAGTTGAGCAGTACATCTTGCAGAGTTGTGTGTGGCCTTTTGTAAAGGCAGGAAGTGCCACAGTTCACAGGCTGAATGTTTTGAGTTGCTGGGAAAATCCTAACCATCCAGTGATGCTGGGGCCTTCTATGCTTGAAACTAGCATTTTAAATCTGTGAAATTCTGTCTTTTGTACTGAGTTCCAAACAGTGCACTATTTGCTGTCTTTCTATAGAGTAATTTTAGAAGCCTCTTTTAGTTTGTTCAATGAATTGCTTACATAAGAGGACTCAGATCTAGCTTACCTCAATAGTTTGACTTGGGAATAACATATTTACCTAACTTTGCTCTTTAGACTTTAAACATCCAGGGTTTTAGATTCTCTCTCCCTTCCCAACCAAAAGAAAAGAATAGTTTGTGAGTTTTATTATTTTGTAATAATTTATATTATTTGTAGTTTAGAATTTATAATACCTTATATTTTACTTTGGAATAAATCCCATTAGGCTCATTTGTCTATACAGTAATTCTGAGGAACCATATGTAGGGGACCTTAAGATTATATGTGTGATTGTGGAAACGTAAAATACAGGAAATAAAAAAATAGATACTCCAGTTAGAAAATTATTATCAGTTAGCAAAATGGATCCAGCCTAGCCTAAATACTTTTAATCCTCAGTAATTTAATTGCAAAGACTTTAAGTCAGTGAGACTAAATTAATATTCTTAGGAATCTATAGTAGACAGTTGAAGATTGGTTGATGGAAATCAAACATAACTGATAGGATTCTGGCCATTATATTATACTTTACAAATGAATACTATGAAAAGTAGTACAATAAATGTAAGCTAAACATACAATAGATATCTAAAGTTGGCTTCACGGAGGATATTATGATTTACCAGTTCAGGTAAATCACAGTTTACGGTGACAAAGATGAATCTTTGCAACCATTGGCCTGTGATGCAACCTTATGAAGAAGATTCAAAGCTTCTGTTTCTGTTTTTAATTAACCACAATTAGGGTGGCACCTAAATGCTAAACTGTAGCTAGTCCTTATTATGGTTTGTTGGAAATGAGCTGTTTTTGTAACCTATGGTTTTCATGTAGTTTATTTTAAAAAAAGTAGATAAGACTAACCACAGTTTGTCAGGTCTAGAAATAATTGCAAGATAGAATAATTTTAAAAAACAGCAATAAAAGCTTCTAAATCCATTCATTACAGACAGCCAAGGGAGCAGAGGAAAGGTGGGAGCATATGAGTCCAAGGATTCTTTTAGTTTATTCAGATTTCAATAAACCATGTTTTATAATAAAATCTGAACACCAGCTTGCTATCTGCCTTGATATTCTTTTTCTGTAATCCGTCCCAGTGGTCTGCAAACTTTTATTTAAGGTAAAAAAAATTCCTTTATGTTATGTGTTATAACATGTTCTAAGGATAATTTGTGACATTATCCTTAGAACATGTTTCAGTGGCCTCTCATACAGGAGAGTGGCTGTATTATTCCTCTGATAACACACTATTCATTTTGTTTACTTTTTGAAAGAGTAGGTTTAGTTGGGCTTGGTTCTACATCTTGATAGCCTTTTTTTTCCCTTGTCCATAATGTTAGCATTTTTAAAAGGAGAACTGTACAGTTAGTTCAAGGTTAATAATGTTGAGCTGCATGAGATTAAAACATACATACCACACATTGTGGTTTATGTTGTCTAGTATAGATATTAGCCCAGTGTTTATCAAAGGCAGGTCTCCTTTATAGAGACAGTAGTTTTTATTCACACCCAGTGACTAAAGACTTACACCCTGTTTGTTTGTTTGTTTGTTTGTTAGCTAGCTAGCTAGTTTGTTCTGCTTTTTGCTTTTTAAAAAATCCAGCTGCACATGAATAGAGGGGTCAGGGAGGGCCACCTAAATGTTTCTCTGTGCTTTCTTTCCAGCCCAGCCAGCAGAGCTGTTTCCTGTTCTTTGTTTCAAGGCTGGGGTTTGCGTCATACATTCCAAGTAGCATATGTGTGCTCTTTCCTGTTTCAGGCTGTTTTCTGGTAGATCAGTAGCCCAGACCCAACCCCTTGTCACTGCCCTGCAACTCCCAGTCCCCACCCAGTGTATTATCATGTCTCCACACACTCATGATTGCCTGCACAGCCTGTGTTATGTCACCACAAGAAGCCTGCATTCACCTTTTAACTCACACGCTCTGTCTCTGATATACACTTACTTGAGTGATTAAAGATTCCTTATCTGAATTTGAGTTTTGAAAGGAAAGTTGAAGAGTTGACTTTTCTTCAGAAAAAAACAACTTATAGTAGTGTGAATTAGTAATACGTAATTCCACCATTACCTATATATCTAAAGTGGAGAATGGGGGCTGGGAGAATTAGGCCAATTATTAATTTATGTTAAAGTGTATTATTTTTGAAAAGTTTAATATGAATTATTTCTCATTGTAGTTTTGCTGAGCCTAACATCACTGTGGTCATGCCAATAGTTTTTGGAGTATTTAAAGCACATTTCAAGTGTTTAATGTACTTTATTTTCATTATTTTGCTCAGGAAAGAATAAAACTTCTTGATGTCTACCCAAGGAAACATTTTTGAACAAAATGGGAAATTATTATTATTAGAATTGAAATGTACACCCTGTTTCATTGAATTCAGCTTTGCTTCACTGGGCCTACTCTCGCTGTTATTACTTTTCAACCAGCATGTTTTATTCCTAAATTATTCTTGTCCAGTCTTCTTATTTAAACCTTATAGTTAACAAGATCTCAATGCACTTTAACAATTGTAAAAGTGCTTCCTTATTTTGGAACAGACAAGTGTAATTTCTAGATACTATGGAAAATCTTGAACATTCTGCTAATATGGTAGCATATCAGGCTGGGAACTAAGAATACATTCACAATGAGAGTATGTAGGCAGAAGAGGAAGTTCTGAAAGAGAACTTGGAACATCTGCATTATTCTTGTTTTTACTAATAAATGAGCTAAAGATTTATTTTGCAGATAATCAAGTATTCTTGATGAAGATTGCATGGCAATTTATGATTGTGAAATTAAGGACTATGTTATGTATTTGAGGTGAAATCCACTTAGGTCAGCTAAAACAATGCTGTTAATTTCAACATTTGGCTTTAGATGTTGCTCAGGATAAAAGAAAAATACACTAAGATGGGATAGCATTTCCTCATCTTTTGCAATTATCCCCATGTGCACAAAGAAAGTTTGCAGCTCTTCTTCTTCCATAAGTTTTGCACTGATTTTTCTGTGGTAGTTTAAGGATTGTTACAGAGTATTCTCAAAGGCTTTCACAACCAGGATCCAGTAGTTGTTGTAGGTTTTTCAGGCTGTTCAGCTGTGTTCTGGAGGTTTTTCCTAACGTTTTGCCAGTCTCTGTGGCTGGCATCTTCAGAGGACAGGAATTAGAACACAGAGTTTACCTCAAATGTACAACTTTCTGGTACTTATTATTGTCAACACTGGTGTTTATTATAGTCTCCTATGCTAATCTAAATGAGGTTTGTCCATGGAAGAGACTTCTGTATGTCTCTGTATCACAGGTGTAAAGATATTTATCTGAATGAAATGGAATTTATTGGCATGGTGTTATGTTCAGGTGAATGTTTATTCACATCCATGTCCCCATCTGCAATCTGCCTCAAGGGATCATGCAAAACAACATCTGACAAGAGTTCAGTTGGGATTTACAGAGCATACTACAGTATGGCCAAAGTGAGACTTTTTAAGATCTCATTGATTTTAACCAAATCTTGCCTCTCTGTCCCATTTAAAATCATTGCAACTTCAAAATGCTCAACTTTTGGTTATTATACAGTTCTGTGTACATATGTATTTACAATATTTTTCTTTTCCTCCACAGAAGTACAACTATCAGGGTATTTGCACATAAAACAGAAGCTAATCATTTTGGTAAGTTTTGTTTGCAAATACTCATTTTTCTCTCTTGTACCTATTAAGATATCAAAATGTATTAAGAGTTCTAGTTCAGTACAAACTGGACATTATTTACATGAACATAAAGGATATGAAGTAATTTCTCAGTTCCATGTTCACAATGCTGCAATCCCATTGCTTAGTGTAATGAGTTACATTAGAGTAGACCCACTGACTCAATGCTGATTTGGTAAGTCAACTCCTTGATACACTCTATTGATTCAAATGTGCTGCTCTAGTTGCATCTTACTTTAACATAGAAAGTTGTTAAGCTGTAGACCCATTTGAAATCAAGGGGTTGACTCACCAAATCCCCACTGATTCAGTGGGCCTACTCTAGTTCAACTTATTATGCTGAGCAACAGGATCTCAGCCAGTGTTTCAAGGCAAACTGTCAAGAGTTTAACTCCTGCAAATGTCACACTTCTAGCATGAGAGTAAGATGAATGCTTTTTCTCCTAAGGTTTTTCTAATATGTACATGGTGCCTATGTAAAACCAGTGTCTTTTTCCTTTGTAGAGCAAAGCGCACACAGAGTTTGAACACATACACACACTCACAAGGACTGGCTGTCCAAAAAGGCAAAATAATCCTGATCATTGCTTCTGATTTTTACAAGTTAATGAAACAAGACAGCAGCTGTCACAGTTTGTCTACATAATCTGAGTAAAAGGCATTCTTGCAAATGCAGAAATTCTCATCAAGATTCACACAAAATATGCCAACATCTTTGCAGTGGAGGGAAAATAGTGGTTCCTTGTTTTTTTAGACATAGATGAAGGAGTTACATTCCTAATGAAAGCTCTTTTTTCCTTTTGACTTTGGATGGCAGAAGATAATGTGATGCAGAAAACGGCAATCTCAGTTTAACCCTGGTTTCTGAAACTGGCATTTTAAAATGTACCAATTAGTGTTAACCACAGTTCCACTTTTAGAGGACACAGGAAATTGCTCTTAATTTGAAGCAAAAACTTCTAAACTGTTCCTCTCAGCCATGCCAATGGAAAAGTGAGGAACATATGAGCCTGGGATATGTCGCATGTTGTATTAAATTGTGGTGTGTCATGAGGTACATGTGTGGGCACTGTAATGTTGCCATGATTTTATACAATAGGATATTTAATGCTAAGGATTTTTATTTTGAATTTCAAAAACTTCACAGGGCAGCTTCTGTATTATAATAAAAATGAAAATATACGTATAGGCTATCTGAAAATTGAGTCGTGGCAACTGGGCTTCTTTCTTATTAATTTGAGACATTTCGCTACTCATCCACGTAGCTTCTTAGTCTGAGGAGAGTTGGTAGGAGACCCCTGATATATCCTCCACACTGGTTTCACTTCCCTCTGGTCTGAATAGGTTTGCTAACAGTTGTTAACAGTGGTCTTTCTGGTTGGTATGGTCCTGATTTTTCTGGGGACGGATGAAATGGTAGTGCGATAAATAGGAGACACATAGGCCTCCACCCCTGTTGAGTGAGGGATTTTCTATATGCACATTTTCTTCATACATACCTACCAACTCAGACTAAAGAAGCGACTTGAATGAGTAGCAAAACGTCTCAACCAAATAAGAAAGAAGTTCAGTTGTTATGACTCAACTTCTAGGTGCCCTCACCTGGATGACTGAGAATCTTCACAGATAGATACATATAGGCTGTTTACAAAAACTGAAATAGCAGAGCAGCATAAAACAGGATCAAGTAGATATCTGATAGTGTATGGGAATTTTTATTTTACTTTATATGCTCTTGATGCTAGATGGTAGAAGCAAAATAAGCTTCTTTGGGATTCTGTGGATGAGATGTCATTGGCTCCCACTGTATTTGTGATGATGGAAGAGGGGGAATTAAAAATAATAACTCCACACTGCTGTTACAGGCTTGTATGGATGATGTTCCTTTTTTTGAAACCAGTGTTTTTACTAGTACCTCCCAAATGTGAATATATTTGCATGAAATTAAATTAGTCTAATCTCTAATTTCAGATTAACATTTGAGGGGCAAAAAATTTTATAGAAGACATTTGTCCCAGTCCTAGTTGTTTCTTTAAAACAGGAGAGTTTTGACGCACAAGTTATACCCACTACTAAAAAGGGCTTCATACATACATATGGTATGGGAAGTCTGCATACATTCTTTGTACATTCTTTGTATAAATTACACTTCGTATGAAGCTCTAAACTGGGGACATAGGCTGCTATCATAACTGTGGATGCATTGGTTGCTTGTGATCTCGTTTTTGGAGACAAATTGTGCTTTGTATTCAGTATCCCTTGGATTGCTGCCACTCAATCTGATGTATGTCCTGTAGGTTTAAGATTAAAATCTTAGATTGTCAGTGATCTGCATTTGAACTGTATGTCAGTGGCCTTCTTCACACACAACACTAAACTGGGATTTAGGCTGTGTTCACAGATCAGAACAAGTCTGAGCAAAGCCTCAAGTCACGACCTTTCTTCCTCCCAGAAAGAGAATTTCTGCAAACTTTAATTTCACTGTGCACCAAAAGCTTGTTATGTTTAAGCCAGAGGTTATGGTTTAAAATAAATTCCGACCAATTAAGTGAGCAAAACAGTCTTGAGTTTAAAGCTGGTTTGTTTCAAAACTAAGCAGAGTTTGCTTTAAATCACAGTCTTCAGATTGAATATAAAGGCATAAATTGAAGAGCAAACCAGTTTTCATGGATAGTGAAATGAAACCTGCTAGTTTCAAGGGGAACTAGCATGAATGGCACAAGTCCTTATGGCTTCCAAGAGAAAGAGAGGGAGTTGAGTCTGGAGTTTTGCTTTTCATTCTAGCCTGTGCACATAGTATTAAGTAATAGCCTTTAGTTAACTCTGCAGTTGTACAAATTCATGAGTATTCATTGTATATTTAGATATTCATTCCTTATTTATATATGTATTTTAAAAACTCGACTAATTTTCTGTGCACGTTAATAGAGAAAGGAATGTTAAAATATTTTCTTCTTCAGGTGCTAGCTTTCTACAGATAACCAGATTGCTCTGATGTATATGAGAATGAAATATGCAATTCACACCTGTATTTTGGCAGGGTACGGTACTGAGAAGTCTTATTAGTACCCAAATTAGTTGTAGCAAGACATTTGGAAAATATTAAAATTCATTTGAATCAGTGGCTTTACATTAAAGCCACGTGCTCAAACTTTGTATTAGGTAAGATTCAACAGGGATGGGATTTTTATATTTCATAGTCTCCCACCTTCAAAATTCACCTGGAATCCCCCCAGGAAAAACTTTGATAGTGGAAAAGCACAAACAACAAACATGGATAAGGTAGTTCTGTGAGAGTTTTCCTGTGTATATCTTAATAGGTAGCAAGATTACAGGTCCCATGAAGCCTTGCACTAACACCCAGACACCATTGCTATACTGCTACCGCCGCCTTCAAACCTAAAACACATGGAACAAAGTGGAATGGCAGTGCCGAAATGTCTGTTTTGCTTGTTATTTGTGTTGTCCCAACTCACAGAATTCTACCTGCAGGATTCCAGGGCAATTGTTGAAGTGGGACTCCTTGAACTATGAAAATCCCGTCCCTAAGATTCTGTTCAATTCAGTAGAATATTGCAGCCAAAATCCTGTTACAGTTACACAAACAAGTAGCTTTTTAGCAGCAGATTGCCATAAGTAACCCCCATAGGCATTACTTGTTTGCACGCTGACTCAATATCTTAACTTATAGCAGTTCACCACGAAAAGTGACACCTTTTGCATAACTACATGACAAGCTTTCTGCCTGTATGTTTTACATATGATAACAGGAATATAAGTTATTAAAATAGTCACTTTTGCAAATCATCTAAACAAAGACAGGTAAAATAGCTATTTCTACCAATGATCTTAAAAATTAAAATAACTTGATATTTTTACATATATTATTGAGACTAAATAAAGTATACAAATAAAATGTTTAAAGTGTAAAAATAAAATATTTCACACGAAGTGGAATGCAGATATTTGAAATCATTTGTAAATGTTGAACATACTGATATCTACAAGGGGGTGCTGATAAGTATTGAGCCTTTCCCAGAAAAAAATGAGCTAGGAAGCTGTAACTGCCACACTATTCTACATATTCCCCCCAGGAAGTCAATGCACTTGTGACATCTGTCCTGCAGCTTCTTAAGTCCCTGCAAATAAAATTGTTCCGACTGCTGGTGTGACCACTCATTTGCAGCATTAGTTGCCTCCAGAACACTCTGAAATCGTTGTCCCTTTAGGTGTTTTTTGAGTTTGGGGAACACATAATAGTCAGAAGGAGTCAGGTCGGGAGAATAGGGTAGATGGGGCATCACTTGAAAGCCTAAGGACGTCAGATTTGTCATTGTTTCACCTGCATTGTGTGACATCGTGTTGTCATGCAACAGGATGACACCTTTGGAGAGCTTTCCTCAACGCTTTTCCCTGATGTTTTGCCTCAACTTCGTCAATAAAGCACATAGTATTTTGCATTGATGGTTGTATCCTGTTGGAGGTAGTCCACCAGCAGAACTCCCTTCTTATCCCAAAAAACTGTTGCCATTTGCTTCTGCACCGACCTTTGCACTCAGAAATTCTTTGGCCTGGAGGAACCACTGTGCCTCCATTCCTTAGACTGTTCCTTTGTCTCAGGATCATAACAGTAGATCCATGTCTCATCACCAGTTACCAGTTTGCCCAGGAAATCTGACTCATTTCTTGCAAAATGTTCCAAAACAGCCAC